TGTCCCAGCAAGCCATACATGAGTCAGCAGGACCACCACCAGGGCCTTGGAACATGCAAGTGGAATTTATTTATGTTGTTAATTACACCTCCATGTCAAAATGTCTGCCATGAAAAAGGCCTCAGGGCTCCATCCCATTTAGTTTAGTTCCAGGGCCCTGGTATGATTAATGGTAGGTAGCTGGTATGGTACTTAAGTGGAATTGAGCCATCGTTAATGTTATTAGCTGCACCTGTGCTTCTCTTGCTTTAACAAGTCACAATGTGTGCTATATAAACGGTTGTTAAAGGAAGGCAGAGGGCTGTTATCGGCCACAGGGGCCCTTAGGAGACACATGCTGAAGTAAATGGAATTTAGCAACTTCTTGTAAGTTTGAATTTACCCAATATACGTAGCAAATGTGTCGTAATTAAACATTTTTATCTGTAACGTAAAAAGGTTACAAACAGAAAATTATCATTCAACTGTGCAGCACTATGGAGCATTTAGCTAGCGTGTTTTAGCTTAATTTTGTTAGTTTTAAAGCCCGCAAACATAGGACACTTTATATGGTTCAGTGTTAATACTAAAGAAAGAATGCTATTTTTAGCTAAATAAAATTTAAAACCTGAAAATAATAAACCTAACGTTACTGTATGCCAAGTACTAGGAACCAAATGGCACCTACACAAAGCTAGTTACTAGCTAGCTTAGGCAAATAGCAGAGCAGCTAGCAAGCTAAAGTCAGATATTCTTCTAAACCAAAGCACAGAGGAGTTGGATTTCTAATCTGTCAATTGGCCAGAAACTCAACTCCAAGTGAATGGTAATGTTGTTTTGTTTCTGTTGGATGTGTAAAAAGACAATTGTTGGCTAACTTGCCAGCCATTTCAACTTGCTGTGTGTTTGTTAGCTTGTTGCGGAGGTTTTATTCTGCCAAGTTGCCAATAAATCAATTAAGGTAAAGTTAGCTTTAAAAAATATGACACCTTGAAACAGAAACACAACCTGAATCTCATAATTTCAAATAGTTTCAGATTGGGAGAGGAACTGGAGGAAGGTGCTAGGTAATGTTGCTTTTAATGGATGCTACATATAACCTAACCCTAAACATTATGCATTAAGGATGGTGGAGGAGTTCAAACTGAGCTCAGTTTGTGGCAGCAGTAGAACCCAGGAGCTTGTAGAGAGCTTGTAGTTCACCCTCGCTGTTGATATGTTGGGTCTGTCATATGTCCAAGAGAGAGGCTCAGGTTACCGGCTGTGTGTGGCTGCTCTGGTGCGGCCCAGAGGTAAGAGAGCTCCGATACGCTAGCATGGGATGGGACAATGAGCAGCGTATGATTACTCGTCAGCAGTGTCACCTACATTTGACCGTGTTTGACCGAATGAGAAAACCCTCTGAATGGGCACCGTGTACACGCTGCCACTATTCTTACTCCACATTTTCTCAGTTTTCCTCTTCATGCCTTACTCGGTCACTCATTCGCAGTATTTAAATCTTCTGCATACCTGTCTGTTTGCTCTCTATTTAAACTGTCCATTCTTGCTCTTCTGTATCTGTCTCAGTGTGCAGCTCAGAGTCAACAGTCAAACTCGTAGGACTCTCCCCTGTGAAACATTTAAAAAATGTTTTTATAAACTCTATTTAGCCACCAAGAGGTGATGGCGAGTTAAAAGAAGTGACCTCATACAGAGGAAGGGAGAGGTAATCATTGGTTATCTTTAACAGCTCTTCTCAGTGACCTTCCCTGTCAATAGAGCAGTGGCCCTTAGTCCATGTAGTGGCCCGGGATCGAGCGCATGTCTCTGTAAACGTTTGAGTGTAAGGGGAGATTAAGTGAGAATAAAACATGATTGTTTGTAGTCTCATTTCCTTGATCCTCGGAGACAGTGGCTTTACCTCTTGTATCACAGTCTTCATCACTCTGCTATCAGGCCCTCTGTCAGTAAATGAGATTTGGTGGGATCTGTTAAACAAGGCTACATACTAATCTCTGCTTGGTAAACACACAAAGGCTGTGACACAATTAGCCCTTTAATCCCTCTGTGGGTACAACGAGGGGCATGCCAGCGGCACTTTATCTAATGTTCACATGGCACAGAGACTTGCTCACACAGCCACACTCACACACCGTCTTCAGGTGGTGCGTGGCCATTACATTTGGGCTCTAAATGTCTGGTTGTGGGTAAAGGAAGCACGTTTATCTCAAACGCAGAGCTGTATGTGGTAAAAGGATAGCACTGCTCAATAATTCACAAGTGCTAATGAATGTTGCAGGGGATATGTGGGGCGAAACCAATTCTAATCGCCATATTATGAAGTCAGCCCAGTGTTTAGTTTCCAAGGAGACGCTCAATTGACATGTGTCATACAAAATGCATGCAGAGTCCATGCAGGTTTTTTCAGTGGCCTCTCAGGACTTGTTAGGAGTTAAGGATCTACTGTATAAGATCAGGTGCCATCTATAGGACACAGACAGTAACACAGTAGACACTGTACTGGTGTAATGGTGGGCTCTACTGTGTCTGACCACCAATGATTTCCTAGAAGTAATGCAACAGAGAGATGATAATTGTGTGTATTGGCAATATTGTTATATAACTGTATGGCCCTAGGGTGGCTCACCTTACAACTGTCCTGATATAGAAACACAGGTGCAAATGATTCATTAAACGCAGGGGAACCTGAGAAAGTGGAATTAAGTGATGTTCTTAAACTTGCAAAGCAAATTTGATACCCACACCCCCTGTTTTGGGAGAGGTGCAGTATCAAAGGAGGTGCTCAGCTTTGAAGCCTCTGAGGTCATGGTGTCTGCTTTTCCTTTCAAACCCTCTCACACTGCACATGTCCGAGGTTATATCAGTGAGTCAGTCCATAGAAGGAGCTTACTATGAAAGGTGTGACTTTGAGGCCAGGACTGAGCAGGTATCAGGCTGGTGGCAATAATAAGGACTGGATTCTGGTGCACAAAGATTGTTATCCAGTTTTGCTATAATTTGTCTTCCAGACTAAAAATAAATAAACATTTATTGTTTATGCCAACACATAATAATAATAATAATAATAACATACATGTTACAGTAAATAGTTTGTGTGTAGTTGTTTAACTGAATAAAGTGAAACAGCAGTTTTTTTAATGAAATAAGGTTATGTTCTCTGTCCCTTGGCCAATGTTATTCTGACAAATGTGTATTTTAAAGGGCCATCTAAGTACGGCCATTGCAAATTAGCTTAGGCTATAAATACTGTGACATGTGGTTTGTGCTATGCACTTGTCCCTATACAAATAAATACTAAATAAATCAGTAATAGGTCACCAATCGTTATGTCTCTTTTCCCAACATCTGTCTTTCCCATTTTCTTACAGGAAGTTGCACCAGCAGTTTGAGTCTTATAAGGACCAGGTTAAGAAGATGGGGGAGGAGACTAAGCCGGTTCAGGACCAGAAGAGTGAAGCCCCAACCTGCGGGATATGCCACAAAACCAAGTTTGCCGATGGCTGTGGCCACCTCTGTTCATATTGCCAAACGAAATTCTGTGCTCGGTGCGGAGGACGAGTGTCTCTGCGGTCAAATAAGGTAACACTGACTCGCATGCTAGGTACTCTACATTTATAGAGAGGCACACACACACACATACACACAAATGCAGATGTCCCACCTTCAGGCAAATTTCTCCCTATGCTACTATTTGAAATCCAAGGTTATGAAACATTGCAGTGAAATCATAATCTGGGAATTGAGCCAACAGTGTCTCTAATGGCAGCTAATGTTTTTCAGATTATCAACATCTACTCCAGTCTGCATGCCTTTATTCTAATTCTGTTCCCTCTGATCTGCCCATTCACAGCTGCAGATTTCCTATTCATGTTTACTGTAATTTACAGTTGTTCTATATCACCACTGGAGGGAACTGTTCCTCCTTTTCTTTTTCCATAAAGGAAACTGATTGCTGCTTTTGTATAATGTGGCACTCCAGTGCATAACTAACCTCTGTAAAATCCTCCCCACAGACTAAGCCAAAGCTTTTAGTATTAGACTGCTTAAATTTGAATCATGAGCTTGAGTGTTTTTATGTGATGCCATCCAATCCTTTGCTGTTGCTGCTGAGTATGTGACAGTACTACCAGGACCTACTAATGCCACTCACAATCTCTCTCTCTCTCCCTATCTTTCCTGTCCCCTCCCCCCTCTGTCTCCCTCTTTCTTTCTTTCTTTCTGCTGCATTCCTGCTCTCATGGAATTGCAACAGGAGGACAAAGTGGTTAGCAAATCCTTTTCTGAGTTTCTTGGTCTGAACACAAGCATTGTTCATAAAATGCTGTGATATGTATATATGCACATACAGCAGCCAACCATGACAGTAAACAAACACGAAAAGTCCTCATATGCCTTGTCTGTGAGTCTACCATGTTTTACCGAAATAAACACTGAATAAAGTAAAACAAATACTTTAAAATGTTTTTGATATAGTGCTTCTCAAACAGAGACACGATGAGGGTTGAAGGACAGAAGACGGAATTAAATTAAATTGGATAAAGCTTACACAAGACTGAAGGAATAAAACGGTTTCATATTAAAGGAGCATTCCCCGATTTTAAACATGAAGTTAAATTTACCCATCATGTGCAGACTGTGAAAACTGTTCGTCTGTGGTTCTAGAGGGAGATTGACAAAGTTTTACAATTCTGATAATGTCATCTATATATTGTAGGTTTAGGCTTGACAATTTTTGTTGAGGGTTTTCATAGAGAGCCTATATGGATTCAGTTCCATGGGTGTGTACAGTGTAGGGAGGATATAATGAAAGACATCATCGTGTTGCATTATGGAAATTGTATCACCCAGCAGGTTTGGAGTCAGCTCTCTGCTGCACAGATTTTGACCTGACCAGATTTTGACCTAGGTGCAATACTGAATGACTGGAGTAAATTCAATGTGATTTTCTAATAATGCTTAGTCCTACAAGCAGTTGAGGGAAGTAGCTTTTCTAACCAGATTATTAGTAGAAAGGGTTTTAATCAATATAAAATCTCACACCTGATCCAAACTATCCCTATTCAATACTAACATGTAGTTCTACTATAAATGTAACGTAGGATAATATAGATCAGAAAGGGAAAGCTATACTGACTGATTGCAGTATTGAATAGTCTTGGGGATTATCTATAGCTGTGTAACTAACTAAACAAATATAGCATCACAACGACAGCCAGATGAACACATCACAGGGGTCATATCATTGTCCTTGTGCATGTATAACATAGATTTCCCATAGCTGTCTTACCTAGAACCCTTGTGTTTAGCTGTTGACTACCACGTAGTAACCAAGCACTCTATAAGCCACACTGGAGGGAATTGTATGTTGGTATGTACTTTTTCTTAACCAAACAAGGGAGCAGCAGAACCACTGGGAGAGACCTCTGCCCTGCTGCTCCCTCCTTGCCAAGACCCCAGTTGTACAGGCTGCCATTGTTCACTGGTAGATAATAGCTGGGAGATCGGTTACCTTGTTGTACAGATGGCGTCGAGTAATAACAGTGGCAGCAGGCTGGCGATGGACAGTCGAAGCATTGGCAGAAAGGGATGTGCCACTGAGGCAATGCCCGCTATTTACCTGGTGGTGCCCTGGCCTCCTAGCACTCAAGGTCAATTCTTTATATAGACCATGGACACTGATGTTAATATAGTGTTACCCAAAACTTAATTGAATAACACTTTGTAATGTAAGGCATACTGAGATACACCTGCAAACCGCAAAGGAAAATGCAGGAGTAAACATTTGATATCAGTCCAGAGGAGTGTATGTGGCTCATTTGTCAGCACTTTGTCACTCCACTATCTCTGTGCTTGAGAATACTGCTATATTTCAAATATTTTTGCAGATGTCCCATTCAGAATGAGTTGAAAATCCAACAAATAGCTTATACGTAGTCTTGTCTTCACCAGGGGAGCAGAGCAGGCATTTATGGCAGGATACAGAAGTTCAGATGAAAGCGTCAGTCAGAGAAACAGAGTGTGCAAAAGAGGTGGCAAGAGAGGGCATTAGGGTGTTAAAAGAGGTAGGTTAGTTCACTAGTCATCCTGTCATATACACAGTCTGTTTTTTGTTTATCTGATAATAGAGTCCAGTGTCTCCAGGCTGACAAGGGCTTTTAGGAGCCAACAGGGTCAGCAGGGGCCAGAGAAGACAGGGGTTGGCTTTTAGCTGAGACCAGATGAAAAGATTGTCTTTCAGCTCTGCAAGGAAGAGACGTGATTGAGCTGAAGTACAAGTTAACCAAGTGAACATCTGCGAGTAGTTCACAATCGACCTGATGTCAGCGCAGGTGACTTGGGTTGGTTGGATTTACGTGCAATCAGTTATTTTGCTATTCATTATCTTTCCATTGGTATTTCAGATTAACACATAATTAAACTGTTTGTCTGGGCATTCTGACGAAGAGTACACCATACAGTGTGTAGATGGTAGAATTGCAGAAGTGATACAGTATCCACAGCAGCCCACTAGGACTATTGTGATATTGATTGCTGATTGTTGTTTGTGTCCATACTTGTAGTCACAGATAGAAAGAAGCTTTGATTACTCTGCCACGAACAACGGGGCCACATTTTGGTATACCCAACCAGCTTGTCTGAAAGCTTGTGTGTCAGTGAAAGAGGTGGCAGTGGTGAAATCTGCCCTTTTTCCATCCGTCTACTCTTTCCCTCTCTCACAGATGGTGACAGCAGTGGCGAGAGAGATCTTGTTCTGTGAACCGCCATTGAATATTTACAAGTCTCTATGTCTGGGGCAGCTAGCAGAGCTATGGTACACAGGAATATGATATAGAGGGACAGAGAGTTAAACAGCTGGTAAAGGAATGTAACAGTACTGCTTAATAACCATGTTTAGCTGAATCTACTACTCATTTGATGTGCAGCCACAATTAATCCTTGTGCCTTATCACAACAAGCTGAATAATAAATGTAAAAAAACAGGTAAAATACCTGTGTTGATAACAATCACTGCTACTTCACGGTGCCAGGTACCTTAGCCTTTACAGGAGATACATAAAGAACAAAGTACAGAGTGACGTTTTGGGGTTAAAAATATAAAATGTCTTTGATATAGATACATTTTGTGTCTTCAGAATCCCTGCTTGTAGCGGTGGAGCTCCCCTCCATTTCCTCTGATGTGGCTTTAAAAGGGCCTGAGGAATCAACAGTCTCCGGGGAAGAAGTCATTTGTGATTAAAGCAACTCTTGAAGATGTAACATGTGCTTCTTGGCCCTTCAACATTTCTGCTATAAAATTGAAGGGGAAGCACGACAGTACAGTAAACTGCATTTTAATAAATAGTGTTGTAGTGAAGTAAACAGATTTGTGAGTCTCTAAACAGCACTACAGAAATCATTATCATCATCAGATACCATATGCTGTAACCTGTTGGACAAATGTTTTACATTATTATTACTTTTGAAAATAGAAATTCGTAATTATTCAAATGTGTTAAACATGTCTCAGTCTTAACTAACTGTTGTACTAGCAATGATAATTCACAGAGCTATGGACTGCATGTGATGTGAAGGTATTTTTTGTAGCAATGGAGGGTTAACAGCCAGTCAGAAACCTGCAGAATATCATTGAATGTGTTATAATGTGTTGAGAAGTGATGGATAATCACAGAAGAAATTAATTTTCAGCTCCACAAAATGCTGCTGGAAGCTGTGGCGCGCACCATTTACATCTTTGCTGCAGGGCTTGAAAACATATAGCTAAGTATACATTTTCCTCAGTTGTAAATGAGATTTTTATGTTGGCAGAAAGATGCACGTCTCTGCAATTTCCAAATTAGCTGTACACAGACTTTTACAGGGTGCTGCTGCTACATTGTTAGCTGTATTTTCCCTGATACTAAACTAAATGCTGCATAGGGGAAAGATGATGGGCATTACCTGGAAATGCTGTTTTCAGATGATAAGTTGGGGGCTAAATTTGGTTTGACAATACCCCCACCCCTATTTCTAATAAGTTCCTCAATGGATATGCTCATTGTGTGACATCCTCACAGAGTGCCCGTTTGTTAGGAATTTAACAGCTAAAATCACCATCGTCACATCGCGGTGAATTTTCTGACATCGAAGTATTTCAAGTCGTTTCAGCCCACATCTACAAGACAGTCATTCCCACGGCACGTGAACGCAGCATAGTTCCTGACACATTTTGTAACCTCGGTCCCAATGATGCCTTCGTGGTCCTGCAGTTGTCTGACAACATGAATGAGACATCGATGGCAGCAGCTGTGTTGTGTGTGTGTGTGTGTTTAGTTGAAGCCAAGAAATGCTCACAGCACAGACTGAGTCGGAGATGACAGAGTGTGCCTGTTAACACCAACACAGGAAAAAGCAGTGGCAGCCAGTGTTCCTGCGTAGCCGCGTTTCTCCGTGTGTCTATTGGACTGTGCGATCAGAGCTGGGACGCGCCGCATATGTAATGAGCTCTCAACAACTCCGGCAGAGCTCTGACTCTCTATCACAGATGAACTAATACAGCGGTGGTGGGAAACGTAACGTGATTTGACGCGTTATTGCTTGGC